TGTGTGTGTGTAGCCAAACTCATTTATAATAATTCATATTGCATTTGTACGGCGCAAATTCCCGCTCAACAGCCAGCTCCTCCCGCTTAACAGTCTATATCATTACCCTGGCAGACCTGATGGCATTCTGAAACAATTTCAATTTTCTGGGAAGCATACAGTGTAGGCTGCCTTTTCATAGGGCAAAAACACTCCTATACCGACATGACCTTTCACTGTCTATAGCCTGGCACCCCTTCTCACCTAGGTATAGTTAGGAACATTCCTATAAAGTGGAATTCCCAAGGACACAAAGTTGGGCCTGAGGCTCAAACCCCCGACCCCGCGTCTTCACGGTCACGAGTCCGGTTGCCTCACCACAGATCATAAATTGTCATTTTTCAACACAAGTGGGGCTATCCCGGAAAATGCTGTTTCGAGAAATTCGAAGGTAAAGTTATTGGACCGTTGTTCAGTTTCTCTAAACGACAAGGAGAGTTTTCTCTACATCCAAACAAATACATACACCAATGAAACCATACTTCCGCTATAGGTAGGGCAATGCCCACTTTTGGTGTAGGTCAAGATATCTGGAAACCCCCAAAATCTGGGTTAGCCCGCTTGTCCTTAAAAGCGACGAAATAACATCCCCAACTCATAGACACTCTGACTCACAAGAGGTGGCCCCGTCCACCTGATAGGTCCCCTCCATGTTGAGGTCTACGATCTCCACCAGGATCTTGTGTTCTCGCTTGCTGGCGTGGATGATCCACTCGCAATGTTTGAGAGGTGGGTATTTGCGCGGGTAGTTGGGGCTGATGATGATTCCGCCTGAGCCGCGCGCGTTGATGTTGTTGGTGACACAGCCTGGGGAGGTGGAACAATGCACAGATAAGATGTTTTTTCTGTAAGAGTTTTACGGCACTTGAAACACAATAAGGTTATATAAGTGCCGAAGATTAGAGGTATTACAAGAGAGTAGCAAACACAAAAAGGAGGGGAGATAAAGACGATATATATTTGATAGGAAAGAAGAAGCAAACCACACCAGAGCATCCTCCAACCACTCACAGAGATAAGATTTGATGACAATGTGTAGTTCATCTACACAAAGAGAAATTTGCTGTGGAATGGGGGATATATCCACGCTTAGGTATATGTCAACACTCACACACTCACTCACAGACACACTCATTTACTCACAGAAGGGCTCTCGTTGTCTAGAGGTACGGTGTTCGCCTCTCATTCAATAGATCACGGTTCAAAACCATGCAGCAACGGGGAAAAAAATTTCACACTCACATGTTCTCTCCCCCTCTCTCTCTCTCCCTCTCCCTCTCTCTCTCTCTCTCTCTTTCTATCTCTCTCTCTCCCTCTCTCTCTCTTTCTCCCTCTCTCTCTCACACACACACTCACACACACACACATACACATACATACACACACACACACTTGCACACACACATACACACATCCATACGTACATTATACCAACAACAATAACACCATCAGAAAACACCAACAACAATGGACAACCTCCTCCTTCTTTTCTTTTTATCAACAGAAAACAACAACAACAACATCTTACTGCTATCCTCTATAATCTGCTTGTCGACAAACTTGTAGTAAGCCTTAAAGCCCACGTTGGTGTCTCTGTCGTCTGAGTGGAACAACATCTTGAGCAGTCTGGAAGTGGCATAGGGTCCGGGGAACGCCTCTCCACAGTACCTCTCGGTCAGCGTGAAGTTTTTTCGGCCAGACGTGCCCAGATCTTCGTGAAAGGCGACGTAGTCTCCGTTGTTGCAACTGTTGATGGAACCACGTGTAATATAATATCATATACTGGTTTTGTTTTTGTTGTTGGTCTATCTTTTAAAATCATCATCATCCAATATTGGATCTGCGACAGACATCGGCGATCATGGTTTTCCATTCATTCCTTTGCTCGGATTCTCTAAAAAAAAAGCTACGTACCCCTGATCTTTCCCAGTTACCCATTTTTAGATATATGCACATATTATTGTACAACAATATTATTTATATAACTTGCCAGATCTGTGATAAATTCCAGCATGTGGTTTGAGAGATGCATCATCTGATGTTGACCTGCTGTAATATTGTCAGGTTTATTTTTCTCTTCATATTGAGTTTGTTTTTCATGAAAGCAATGTAATAATATACATGTCGTTTGAATTCTACGTATATCTATATTATCTATATTATCTATATTATCTATATTATCTATATTATCTATGTTATATATATTTACGATAAGATAACATAAGATAATACTTTATTATCCCAGAGGAAAATTTTCTTGGCTGTACAGGACCGTAAAAACACATGCAGGTATACATGTAGGCCTACTTAAAAATAATAAAATTATATATTACTCTAATTAAAATTCAATATGAAAAGAGAAGTAAAGCTGACAAAATGTACATATTACATCAGAAGCACCATTCAACCACTTGTAGGAATTTAATTACAAACCCTTTGGAGTTAAATAGATACATACTCTAAAGAGCAATACTCATCTATGTCTATTCTGACAATGCCCTTATGCTAGATGGTAAAAATTTATATCTTCCTTTCTTTGTTTTTAGAGGCTCATATCTGCCGCTGCGTGATCTGACAATTTGCATGGAAAGGGGGTGTGATGGGTCGTTTATAATGCTTTTTATCTTTTTTTATACTTGCGGTGTTAAACATTTCATCAATTGTAGTAATATCATATCCAGAGATCTTGCTGGCTTTCTTAATGGTTCTTTCAAATTTTTCTTTATCTTTCACCCTACAATTCCTAGACCAGTAAAAAATACAAAATAATAGCCCGCTTTCAATCATAGACTGGTATAAAAGGGACATAATCTTAGCGACATGGAGACTTCTTAATGTCTAAGGAATATTCTTTGATTTACCCTTTTATGCACAAGAGCAGCGAGGGGATGCCAGTCAAGTTTATTATCAATTGTTATACCAAGAAACTTGTAAGAGCTTACCACCTCCACCTCCTCATCTTTAATAAATAGTGGTTGCAACTAGTCTTGTCTTTTTAAAAAACATAATTTAGTAAAAGGAAGTGGTTAAGATAAGATACCATTCCCGTACAGCCACAGAGAATTTCCTGCAGAGACAACAACGTATTATGGTATCAATTCATAATAAAATCATCTTTTCTGTTCTGTAGTGAGGCAATTTGATTGGTTGGGAGAGTTCAGAGATTTGACATGTCGAGATATGACCGATCAATACCAGACCACGGCCAATGTTACAGCTTATTCCAAACCATCGTGCACAAACCACAAACATATGTTTGCGTATTATATCATTGCACGCATGTTGTTCCCTGCCTTTTAATATTGTTAGAGAAAGCAAACAGAATGGAAACGTTTGTTTGAAGAATGAAGTTATTAGATCTGTGCTTCTTTATCAAAGTGCCCGAGGGGCGTCTTGAATCGAAACCCCCGGAAGGCGCGTTTTCAAAGATTTACTAAGAAGAATAGAGATCTACCGGCATCTTCGGCCTAATGGTGCTTAGTTTTAGTTTTAGTAAGTGTTTTACGGCACTTGCAACACAATAAGGTCGCATAAATACCGCAGATTAGAGGTGTTACAAGAGAGTAACAAACACACAAAAAAGAAGGAGAGGAGATAAAGACGACAGATGTTTGATAGGAAAGAAGGAGCAAACCACAACAGAGCACCCGCCAATCACCCACGAAGATGTGAGTTTGAGTCTCGCCTAGGGACAAAGTGTTCAGATCAAGCGCCTTTGTCTTTCTGCAGGGATGCTGTACTATATACCGTTAACACTGAGTTGTCCCCAAGAGGTAGCCCGTCTCCTAAAGTACCGGGGTCTACACTGTGTAATGGGGACGTAAATATTTGCAATAAAAAGAGTCAGCAGCTTACTTACAATTAACAGCAGCAACATCACCAATAACAACATCACCAACAACAACACCACCACCATCTCCACCACCACCACCACCTACAACAAAAACAACAACAATAACAACAACAACAACAACAACAACCACAACAACAACAACAACAACGACAACAACAACAAAAACAACAACAACAACACCATCTCCACCACCACGACCACCACCTACAACAGCAACAACAACAACAACAACAACAACAACAACAACAACAACAACAGCAGCAACAACTCACTCGATGCCCTTCGGGTCGGAGAGTTTGAAGACGGAGAAGGTGATGATGACGACCTCGTTGCTGCGCGGCCGGAAGATGTACTCACAGTCGAGGTTGAGCGGGTAGCTGCCGGGGTGTCGGGGTGAGTTGGTCTCCCCCATCTTGGTCTTGGCGCTGTTGTAGTGGAACTGACACTTGCCCTCCTCGATCTCGTCACCGGGGATACCGTAGTCTGTTGTTGGGAAGTTGGTGGGGGTATAGTTTGGGTTTTTAAAATAGTTTTGGTAAGAGTTTTACGATACTTGCAACACAATAAGGTCATATTATAAGTGCCCAAGATTAGAGGTGTTACAGTAGAGTATACAATGGAGTAACAAACACAAAAAAGAAGTTTTAGAAGTTTTAGTAAGAGTTTTACGGCACTTGCAACACAATAAGGTCATATCAGTGCCGAAGTTCAGGCGTGTTACAACAAGAGAGTAACAAGCACTAAAAGAAGGAGGGGAGATAAAGACTATACATGTTTGATAGGAAAGAAGAAGCAATCCACACCAGAGCACCGTTCCAATCACCCACGGAAGTTTAGTTCGGGGTAGGGGAGGGGGGAGTTGGGGGAAAGAGAGTTTGG